GGAGAAAGATCACGGTTCTGTTGACAATTTGCACACTTGTCAGTAAAACAACCATAACTCTTGCTAGAAAGCTCCAAATCTTTCACTGTTTGATGTGTTTGAAACTAGAAACGTATATCTTTCTAGGGATATATGGCTTGCTCAGTATTTTTCTGTGTTGATGCAGTTTGAAAACTGAAATTTGGCCCAGTTGCGAGCATTTTTGGCTTTGTTGATTTCTTTGGATTAAGCTCAGGCTCTTTTAGGTTTTGTTCAAAATCATCTAGTTCAAATTTATTAGTGGATGTAAATATTGGATTTACTAGGAATTCTCCCGCATCAGACCAACTTTGGCAGAAAGTGATTAGCTTAAGTTCTATTAACTTGTGAGTTAAACATGGAATGTAATTTCAGGGCAAACTAGATAACGGACAGGAAATTGCAGTTAAGAGATTATCTAAAACTTCAGGGCAAGGGATGAAGGAGTTTATGAATGAAGTAAGGTTGATATCTAAACTCCAGCACAGAAATCTTGTCAAGCTTTTTGGTTGTTGCATTCATGAAGAGGAAAAGATGCTGATATATGAGTACTTACCAAACAAAAGCTTGGATTTTTTCATCTTTGGTATGGCTCTCTTCATCCATTTTTGTGTCTGTGTTCAAAGGGAAGAGTCCCCTGATTATGCAGCTTCACTTTAATCAAATTAAAACAAATGATTTCTGGGCAAACCTTTAATGTTTAAGTGCAGACGAGACAAAAAGGGTGCTGTTGGATTGGAGAAAGCGTTTTGAAATTGTTTCCGGGATTGCTCGAGGGGTTTTATACCTTCATCAAGATTCAAGACTAAAAATCATCCACAGGGATCTCAAAGCCAGCAATATTCTACTAGATGCTGCAATGAACCCAAAAATTTCAGATTTCGGTATGGCTAGAATGTTTATGGAAGACCAAGTCCATGGAAAAACCACTCGTGTGGTCGGAACATAGTAAGTCACCTGATTCTTTCCTCTCTCCAGTGATCCATCATGATCAAATACCAACAACCTTCATCTTTTATGATTGTAGTGGCTACATGTCACCTGAGTACGCAATTCACGGACAGTATTCGATAAAGTCAGATGTCTTCAGCTATGGAGTCTTAACACTGGAGATCATAAGTGGCAGGAAAAATAGCGACTACGGTGAGAAAGAACCCTGGTTAAATCTTATCGGACATGTAAGTGGATCGATAAATTTCTTCATAATATCTTAGGTGATTGTCTTCCTCTTAGATTCTTTTCTCGATTATCTTCTTACTTGTTTCAGGTATGGGACTTATGGAGAGAAGAAAAGGCATTAGACATGGTTGATCCAATGCTGGAACAGTCATGCCCTCCTCATGAAGTTCTGAGATGCATTCAGATTGGGTTACTGTGTGTGCAAGAATTTCCAGATGATCGACCTACAATGTTAGAAGTTGTGTTCATGTTAGGCAATGAGATAACTCTTCCTTCTCCTAAGAAGCCAGCATTTGTTTTACGAACACGCAGTGGACAAGATTTTCCAGCAATGTCTAGAAGAGCAGTTTGTTCTGTAAATGAAGTTACAGTTACTATGGTGGCAGCTCGCTGAAATCCCAGTCTCTTGTAATAAATTTTCTCTAACAGGCATTACATAGAAGAAAAAAAAATGTTGTCCTGACAATCTAGTTTCCAGAGAGCATTTTTTCAGGTTACCTCACCTGCGAAATTGATTTTGAACTTAGGATAGAAAACTAAATAATAATTCCATTTATTAAATTTATTAGCAACTAGTACTCCCACAATAAAACAAACTCCATTGAAATGCTTAAGGGGCTGTCCACTCATTATTGCAAACTAGTTTCATAAGCATTTCTTTACAACTCTTCATACAAAAGCAGTGAAGAGTGTCAGCCAAGCACCGTCACTGTCAGCGCTTGGCTTCACGCGTCGTCATCGATTGAAGAGCAAAAATTGGTGGAACTTAAGCGAATCTTTAACCTCTTCCTTTCCTTACTGGTAGCGAGCATCACCGCTACCTCCAAGACAAAGAAAACAACACTAGACAGTAGTTTTTATTTATCTGTAGTATTTTAGATCTACCTCTCTCTCTACTGTAATTTCTTCTTCTCTCTTCTTATTGTTATTGTTGGGTTCTTGTGGATATACCGTGAAGAGTGCCTTACGTTGTGGTTTATGAGAAGGTGCAAGGCTCGGCCACATCCCCTGTTAGAATATTATTTGTTATGACTTAGTTAAATCTAGTTTTCACGCCTCACGATTTTATTCTTGATCTAAAACAATATACCCTAATCTCTTACTATAATTTCTTCTTCTCTCTTCTTATTGGTATTTTTGGGTTCTTGTGAATCTACTGTGAAGAGTGCCTTGCGTTGTGGTTTAGGAGAAGATATAAGGCTCGACCCACGTCCTTTTATAGAACATTATTTGTTATAGCTCAGCTTAATCAGACTTTAACACCTTATAATTTTGTTTCTGATCCAAAACACGTCTTACAAAATTAAGTATCAACTGCTTTAATATGTTTTAATTTTAATTTTTTTTTTTTCAATATGAAATGTTATAATTCTTTCACCTTCAAGACAAGTCATTCTCAATTCTAATACCATATATAAGACCCAACCCCCTTCCCTTTACATAAGATTATCTACTATAACTCAGTCCAACTCAGCTTTTACGTCTCATGATTTTATTCCTAGTAGTTCACAGGCTCCAAAAAAGCTCCAAAACACGTACTCAAAGATTAGGAATCAATTATCTTAATATCTCCTCGTTCTAGACTTTTTTTTTTTCGATATGGAATATTACATGGTCGGTGATGGAGAAGGTGCAAGGCTCGGCCACATCCCCTTTTAGAATATTGTTTGTCATGACTTAGTTTAATCTAGTTTCCATTGTTCTTGATCCAAAATACGTCCTATAAGATTAAATATTAATCGCTTTAATAGATCCTAATCTCTCTACTATATTCTCTTTTCTTATTATTATTTTTGGGTTCTTGTGGATCTGTTATGAAAAATGCCTTGCATTGTGGTTTAGGAGAAGATGTAAGGCCCAAATCATATCCCCTTGTAGAATATTGTTTGTTATGGCTTAGCCCAATCAAGCTTCAACGTCTCAGCTTTTACATCTCATGATTTTATTTTTAGTAACTCACAGTCCCCAAAACACATCCCAAATGTTAGGAACCAATTGGCTTAATATCTCCTCGTTCTAGACTCTTCTTTTTTCGACGTGGAATATTACATGGTCGGTGATAGTTTTGGAGTGGAGAGAAGGGAGGCTATCTTTGGGTATAATTTTCTTTTCTATAATGGGTCTATGGTGTTTTTATGGGTCTTGACTGGTGGGTCTTCTTGTGATAACTAGTGAGGAGGCTTGGTGTTAGGTCACTATTGGTGGTGGTTTCATCGTGAGTGAGTTGGTGGTTTCCATGCTGGTACAGTCGGTTGAAGGTGTAATGGAGAGAGGTTGCAGTGGGTGAGCTACTGGTTCTTGTGAGAGGCGTTGGGAGACTACGATGGGAAGAACTAAGAGAAAAAGGGGTTCTGGTTTGGCTTTCTAAAGATGATGAGGGGTATGATGTTGTGGTGTTGTTCTTGGGTTTTTGAAGAAAGATGATGAAGAAGCAGCTGGTGTGGGTGGTTTGATATTACTAGTTTGGTTATGGTGGAGATGGTTGAGTCTGAGAAGGGAAATGGTGGAGGCTGGATTGTGGTGGGGTTAGCACCGGTGAAAGGTTATGCATAATGTTGGGAAAATAAAAATATGGTTTATTTTAAGAGTAGGAATTTTTTGTGTGTTTTGTTTTATTTTACTTTTTTATTTGCTTCATACACTGAATTTTTTTATCTGCCCCCTAAAATCTTTGATGTGGCTCCTCTCTCTTCTTTTTTTCTTTTTTTTTTGTAAGGTATGTATTTATAATAGAGAATTTTAAAGTTTTTTAAAAAATACAAACTCTATCTTTTAAAAAGAAATTTGTTTAAAATTTAAAATTTAAAATATTCTAATGATTTTTTTTCCAATTGAAAATCAAGAGAAAAAACGCAAAAATATATTATAGTTCCTGATTTTTTTATAAGTTGATAGATCATTTCTTTAATGAAAATTAATATTTAATTTTTAATCTCACTGAAAAAATTAAATTAAAAAGCAAATAACGTGGTGAGCATGATAATTAGATCGAAAGTTATATTAGTTTTAGTCATATAAATAATTTGGCATTACTAGACCTGTTTTATGCATGCACTTGTCATATTCTGCTAGACTTCTCACATGATGTAGTTTCAACAAATACACATCTATGTATTCAGAACCTCATGCATCAGAGTGTTTCAGTTCAGGCTCTTGTGTGGCTTCCGTACCAACCGAGACATATTGATCAAGAAGTTCCATTTTCAATCCGTAATTCAATTGATCAAGTCTTTTTTTTTTTTTTAATATTCATCAGTTTAAAATTTTTGAGGGCTACTGAATATGTATATAATTATTAACTTTAAAACATATAAAATTTAATCAAGATATATATAAATTGATTCAAACACTCACATTAAATAAATAAATAAATAAAAACTTCATTCTCCCTTGAATCTCAATCTCTGAGATATTATTCATTTAACTTTCATTTAAAAATACTTGCCTTAAATGACGTTGCTTTTGACATAAATGAGTTAATTGGGTAATATTCGATAGATGGGAGATCCAATTGGATTATTTTTGTTAGTTTTTGTGATACTGAACTTTTGAGCCAAGAAATTAAGGCGCCTCCTAGTCAATTGAAAATGACAATACAAAACAAAAATGCCGACACTACTAGAGGTGGTTACTAATTCCCAAAAGAATAAGCTACCTTAATGTATTAAGTAGCTTTAATTGCAGATTAGGAAGGACCTAATCACTAGCCAATATCATCATGAATCCCTGTAAAATATTTCTCATTTCATTGCTTGAATGCCTTCTTCTCCAAATTTTCTGTCCACAGACACCATAAGTTTTAATGAGTCTATTACAGATGTTAATGTTTTAGTCTCCAGTGGAGGAAATTTCACTTTGGGATTCTTCAGTCTGGAATTTGGTATGCTAAAGTTTCAGTTCAATGTGTGGATTGCCAACAGGGATAATCCTGTGGAGTTAAAAAATAACTTAAAAAACAAAGTTATTAAATCAAGTGAAAGTGAAGTACATGACTCAAGTAATGGGTTAAATCACAAAATCTGACTCGATTCAATATATCAATGTCTCAAAAAATATCATCTTGAAATTTATTTTAAAGTCAAACCATGTTTTTATAGGTTGTTTAGGTTGCTTTTGCATATGTAAAGTCAATCAACTAGGTTATATCGAGGCAACTCTCACATAATTTAATTTGAAATATGAACTAAAAAAAAGTTGAATATGAAGGTTTTAATATTGACTCACTAGACCAGCCAAAAATTTTCATCAGGCTTGAAACTTTTTCTTGCATAGAAAATTGATCCAAGTAAGATCAAGTAAACATTCCTCGCTATTAAAACATATCTCTTCATCATTTAAAGTCAACATAGATAAAGATGCCTTAATAATCTTTCAATTTAAGTCATCTTCATAAAGAAAATTGTTCTTCATAAATCTACTTATTCAATAATTCAGTGTTATCAAAGTTAATGGGATCTAAAATATTCTTTGTTTTGCTCAAATTCCTATAAAGTATAAATATAAAAGAAAACAACATGATTGTTATCATATATATTAGTGATAAATTTAATTTTTAAAAATAATATATTTACAAAGTAGCTATAAAAGGTTTAGACAAGATCTATTTGCAATATTAGGTCAATAATCTTGTCTATCATAATATATTCTTGTCAAGAACCTGCATGAAGACCAAAAACATTCATTTGCCATGGAGGGACAAGATGAGAAAACAAGATTAGATAGTAGGTACAAAATGTTACTGCATAGAAAATTATAAAGTTGTTATAATTATAAAAAATTTATTGCATCAAAATCTTATTTCTAAATGTTTCTAGTCAATATTCTATTAAAATTAGATATTAATTAGAGTTGTTAAAATCAATATATATTATGTTCCTTCCTCTATGAAAGGAAGCAGTTGCTATCATAAACTGAGATATGAAGGATACCTCAAACTAATATACAAATGCTTGTCAAATGACATGTACACTGAACTGACTTGTAAGAGAATTTTATATGAACAGATCATTTATGTTTATGAAAAGACTCACATAATAGCTATGTAAATGTTTTTTTAGACTTGAGATCATTAATTTATCTTATATAGAGAGTGTTATGTTTTGATTCTGATCACACGTAACAAACAAGAAAATATTAAGAAAGATGAATTAGAAAAAAATATTTTTTATATTCTTAAATAGTATTGATTGTGAAATCCTTGGCAAAGGTGGAATGAGTTTTGAAAATAGTTTTAAAATCTTACTCAAATAATTAATACCTATAATGTTAAAAACTAACATAATTTATTACAGCAGAATACTTCATGTTATAATGTTTAAATCAAAACATTCATGGTACATAAATAATAATTACATTGAGAAACTAATCACTAAAAGGTTATGTCAAACCAGTTATGATTTTTTTAATATTTGATGAATCATAATAGGTTTGTTAGACATTATACTTGATCTTTAAATATAAGTCAATCAATTTTAAATTGAAAATAAATTAAATTATTTAATTTATTTAATCTTATTTTATTTAGAAATATTATTTATATTTAGGCTAACTTATTAGAGAACTAAATAGGCCACACACTTAAAAAGAATTGGTTAAAAATTAAAATGGGATGGTTAATCAAATGTAACTTAATTGTAAATAAATTTTAAAGATTGAGGACTAGAATGTCATTGATATAGGGATTACAATTCTAAACCTATAAAAAATCAAGTAAAGACTTAATTGAATAAATTTCTAAAACTAACATAAAATAATATGTGATATTATTTAAAAGATAAATTTATATTTTGTTATTTATATGATTTTTAGGTTTTCATATAAAAAAAAGTTTTGCCTTTTTCATTTTGTGAGTGAAGTGGAGTACATAAACATCTTAATTAAAAAAAAAAGTTAATACTAAAAAATATAATAAAAGGATTTAGGAGATTTTTTATTGGTAAGGATTAATATTAAAAAAATTATTCAAAATCAAAAAAAATATTTTATCTTCAAATCATTTTCGTATAAAATCTAAACAATTTTATATTTATTTAACAAGAATTTTAAAACTCCTCCAAAAATTTAAACGTTTCGAGTTACTCAAAACATTCACCACGTACTTGTTGTTTTCGCATGTCATTGTGTCATACATATTTGAAACGGTTATAGCAGGGAATTGAAAACTATTTTGGAATGTATAGAAGCGAACTAGGGTGCTCTATGTTTCAGGATTGTCTTGCATCGAATTTTTTTTCAGGAATCAATAACATTTTCTTATCTCACTCGTGATTTAACGAACTAAAACTTGACATGATATTTCTTTTAATCCGCAATGAGCTCACAAGAGTTGTGCAAACGTGGGACCAAAAAAAAATCTCACCGGAAACTAAACACTTGTGGCCTGTCAAGTGGTCATTTAATACATGGCTGGCTCCACAGAGCATCCCCAATAATCGGTCAAGAAAAATTCTATCAAGCTCTAGTAGGTGGCTTTTTGGCCCCACTCATTAAAACCCCAACTGCACTACCAAGTCATCTACTCACCTCGCGAACACACAATCATAGAAACAAATTATGAATCCTATAGGAAGGTTTTTGAGTACATTGTTTCTCTTCCTTGTTTTTCCTTCTTGCTTATCTATTGACATCATAGCTCCAAACCATTCAATCAAAGATGGAGATGTTCTGGTCTCTAGCGGACAAAGCTATGAACTCGGGTTCTTTGGCTCAGGCATCGATTCTACTCGTCGTTATGTGGGAATTTGGTACCGTAAGGTTTCAGAACGAACTGTTGTATGGGTGGCAAATAGAGATAATCCTATCAATAGTACCTCCGGAGTCCTAGCTATCAACAAACAAGGTAACCTTGTAATTTATGAAAATAACCGAAGTAGTGTTCCTGTTTGGTCTACAAATGTTCCAGCCTCAATATCAATGACAAATTGCACGGCTCAGCTCCTGGATTCAGGAAACTTGGTCTTGGTTCAACGGGATAGCAAAGGGGTCTTGTGGCAGAGTTTTGATCATGGTACAGATACTCTGCTTGCTGGTATGAAGCTTGGGCTGGACCTGAAAATCGGTTTGAACCGGTCTCTGTCATCTTGGAAGTCCAAAGATGACCCGGGAACCGGAACCATTCTCTATGGTATTGATCCAAGTGGGTTTCCCCAGTTGTTCCTATACAAGGGTCAAACCCGATGGTGGCGTGGCGGGCCATGGACTGGACTAAGATGGAGCGGAGTACCCGAAATGACCCCTACCTACATCTTCAATGTTACTTTCGTTAACAGCGTTGATGAGGTATCTATATTCTATACTATGAGTAATCCCTCCATCATTTCTAGAATGGTGGTGAACGAATCAGGAATAGTGCAGCGGCTGTCGTGGAACGATCGTGATCAACAATGGATCGGAATTTGGTCCGCCCCAAAAGAACCATGTGACACCTATGGCCAATGTGGTCCAAACAGTAACTGTGACCCATATCAAGCAAATGATTTCATATGCAAATGTCTACCCGGATTCGAACCCAAGTCACCCCAAGAATGGTACCTAAGAGACGGGTCAGGAGGTTGTGTCAGGAAACCTAACGTGTCCACATGTCGCAGCGGAGAAGGTTTCGTCAAGGTGGCTCGAGTGAAGGTGCCAGATACATCAATGGCGAGAGCGAACACGAGTTCGAGATTGAAAGAATGTGAGCAAGAGTGCTTGAGGAATTGTTCTTGTACAGCTTATGCTAGTGCTGACGAGAGAGGACTTGGATGCTTGAGATGGTATGGTGATCTGGTGGATACAAGAACGTTTTCAGATGTGGGGCAAGAGATTTACATCCGCGTGGATAGAGCTGAACTAGGTACATGTCCAATTCTACTACTAACTTGTTTACTTTGCCTTTGTTCACTTGCTATGCCACGCACAAGTTTTTATTCTTGAAGAAATCTTATAGACCTGATAAATCACAGGTAATCAGTTTTCTTATAATTTATTAGAAGTGATTGACTAATTGTAAAAATGATTAAGATCAGGTCTCTATATGATTCCATTAAGCTTAAGTGCACAAGTAAACTAGCATTGATGGCATAGATTTCAAATGTTTCTCCAATTATATGAAAGATAGATTCCTGAGCAATGTTTTTATTATTATTATTAATCAGCACGTAATTTTATGAATAGAATGTTTGACAAGGGGAGGTCAATAAATGTGTTGACACGAAATCCATTGATTATTCAGTTAAATTGCATCAACTCAATAAACTCGGAATTGATTGTTTTGTTTAAGTGATCATATTATTATTTAATAGTATAATTAATTGAGTAGTTTTGTGACACACACATGCCTATATTGCCGCTCATAGAAATGACTAACATTATTTTACTTTCCTTCTAAGAATATATTAAAAAATAAAAGATATACTAAAACCTTTTTCACAGTAATCCATTGAGAATTTTTTTTCTTCAATTATATCATTTTGTGGCCAAATTAACTGCCACTTTCTTATAATTTTTTATGGAGAAACGCATTTGGAAGGAGGCCAAAGTATAAAAGAAGAAAAAAATTACATGTTTGGATTAAAACTCACAAAAGTAATGGCCTATTTAAAAATATGATTATGGTTGCTTTTTAAAGTATTTTTTATTTTTTAAAATGCATTAAAATGATATTTTTTTTATTTTTAAAAATTATTTTTTAGATTAACGCATCAAAACAATCCAAAATATTAAAAGAATAATTTTTAGCAAAAAATAAAATTTAATTTTTTAAAAAACACGAGTTGGCCCGTGTTTTCAAATGCTCTCAAGTGTGTTTAGGTCCCCATACTTTGTTTTTTTTTTTTAAAGTCCCTTTATTTTCTTATGATTTCATTTTAGTCAAAAAGTTTAGGTCCCCATACTTTGTTTTTTTTTAAAAAAAGTCCCTTTATTTTCTTATGATTTCATTTTAGTCAAAAACTTTATTTTTATTATTTTTAAGTTTCTGATTTTGAAAAATAAAAAAGAAAGTTGCTAAAAAACAAAAAAAAAATATAGTTGTTCGTTGGCCATATTTCAACTACTAAAAAAATGATTATTGATATCAATGAGTTTTATTAAATTATAAAATTTTTATTTAAGCTTATTTTTTCCTTTATTTTACTTAAAGAAGTAGATTGGGGTGCAAATAATTTTTTCTTTTGATTTGATATGGTATTTTTGACAAACTTTTCAGCATTTTGAGTGGATTAGTTGGTTTATTGATATTATAAGGATGTTTATTATGTTTTTTAAAGTGAAAATTAATTGAAAAATATAATTTAAAATTTAAAGTGAAAATTAATTGAAAAATATAAGTTTTTTTTAAAAAAAACACCAACCTTATTTTTCAACTACTTGTTTGTTGGTTGGAAACTCAGGTTTGAAAAACAAATAATCTTTTTTTTCTGACCACACCAATAACTAGGTTTTAGAAATTTTCAAATAATATTTGTTTATTTTGTTTTTAAATAAAAAAGGATGAATTAATGACTAAATCCTTTCTAATAGGATTTTTTAAGAAGATGAATTTCTCAGTTCCTCTCTTTCTCTACTAGTAAGCATGTTTTCCTAAGTTTTTCAATTTCTCAACAAAATCCTAACAGAAAGGGTACATTCAAAAAATTATATTGTTTAGAGAGAAAAAGGTCTTTTATTAAAAAAAAATAGTTCAATTGAATTTGTTTTTTTCACTAGAGTTAGGGCGTAATTTATAATTTAGCGATATATTTTTTCTGATTTCCACAACCTTTCCTTCCTCGACACCTTTCCTCTTCTCTCTTTATACCACTATTGTTATTACAATACTTCTCTCTTTGCCGATTAGTATATCGATAGTGTATTTTATAATTTAGCCATATATTTGTCTTGCTTTATATTATAAAACACTAGTTTAAATACAGTATCGTCCATTCTCGTTTATTGAGATAAACTTAAAAATCAAATCTAGTTTATTAGTTGGTTTATTGATATCATAGAGATATTTATTATGTTTTTTAAATGAAAATTAGTTGAAAATTACATTTTTAAGTTAAAATACACTATCCTGATTTTGGTGCCCAATTTTATTTCCCTTTTTTTTTAGTTTTTTTTTTTTTTGGAATAGAAAGAAAGAGGTTGCTAGATTTTGGTTTAGATAGAAAAAATTGATATTAAAAATGATTTAGACTATCAAAACAATCAATTTTTAAATGAAATGGTTCTATATGATGGCATCAATTATTATTAGATATTTTTTTTACTTTAAAAACACCTAACCACATATCTAAACTCTATAAAATTTTTGGTTTCTATTTGATTCTCATGTTTTGAATCAAAAAATAAATAACCATGTATTATTACCACACCAACGATGAGATTCTAGGATTTCTAAACGATGCATTATCTATTTATTTCAAATTATTTTTTCCAAAAAAAAAGAGGCAAAAGATTAAATAAAAAAAATTAAAGGCTCGCATGTGAGTTTTTTTAAAAATTGGATCAGATATTAGGCTTGACATGCCAAGCCAAGTAGCGCCTAGCCTCATTCCTTTATTTTTAATTTTATATGTGTTTTTTTAAATAATTTTTAAATTTTAATTAATAACCCTTCTCTATGATTTTTTTTTTGGATTTTTTAGTCTTTCTTGAATAGTGATTATTTTTTTAATTATATTAGGTGTGTTTTGTTTTTTCAAAAATTATTATCATTCATCTATAATTTTTTATATATTTTATATAAATTAAATATTTTTTTATAATATTTTAATATATGTAACTTTTCATATTGTTTTTATTTTATTTTTATTTTGTTAAATAAATTTTATATGTGTGTCAATCTCTCTTACAAATTTATTTTAATAAACAAATTTATTGAATATAATTAGATAAATGAATCACGTGGCAATATTAAATATCATTGTATCCATTGATATCTTAGTTTTTTCAATTATGTTTTATTTATTATTGATTAGTATTTTTAATTTATTTACACAATGGTTAGTGGCTTATTTAATTAAATATATGCATAAGTTACATTTATAATTTTTTATGTGGAAAATATTGTTAAAAAACTCAACATGTTCAAGTTTTTGATCATGTATGTAATTTTAATTTAATAGTTATTCTTATAATTTTTTAATAAATTTGTTTTCCTTTTTAATTTCAATATTCCATCTAAGTTGATAGTGTATTGTTTTTTTTCTTTTATCCTCATTCATTGGTCTTTTTATATCTATATTTTCTTGTTTGCTATCATTTTTTTTATCAATATAATTTAAATAAAATCAACTTATTTCGTTTATCAAGATCAAAACATGTCTATAGCACCAAAATATTTTATTGAAAAACTAATACAGACCTACAGCATAGCACGGGCACCCATAATTAGTGTTGACTGAATCGTAAAATGCACTTCAACACTTGAAGGAAAAAATCAATACCCCTAAATTAAAAAAAATTATAGATTTTAACCTTTAACAATATGTTTTTTTGAATTTATCCTTTCTAATAGGATTTTTTAAAGAAGATTCGACGGAAAAGCTCTTAGAATTTCTCAGTTCCTCTCTTTCTATATTTACCCCCCTTAAAAATTATCATTAGAGTTCGGGGGTAAACATGTTTTCCTACGTTTTTCCTCGATTTCTCAAAAAATCCTAACAAAAAGGGCACATTCAAAAAATTATATTGTTTGAGCAATGTTTTTCTTAAAACAAAAATAGTTCAATTGTATTTGTTTTTTTCATTAGAGTTCCACACCCTTTCCTTCCTTGACACCATTCCTCTTCTCCCTTTATACTATTATTTTTTTTACAATACTTCTCTCTTTGACCAATTGGTATGTCGATGGCGTATTTTATAATTTAGTCATATATTTTCCTTGCTTTATATTATAAAACATTATTTTCTTGTATAGTATCGTCCAGTCTCATCTACCAGACAAACTTAAAAATTAAATTTAGTTTAATTGAGTCTCAAGCTCGTATGATCCTACAAAGGAGATAGAAACAACAAATCATAGTTAATAAAGTTTTTTGGGCAAGCAAATTCGGTGATGAAAATTATTCAATAGTTGTAGTTTACTCTTTGTTTCATTTATATGGTATTCAATTATTAAAAACAAAAATTAGAATAGAGAGCAATTAAATATAAATTTACAGTACTGAATAATTCCTAATTAACAACTTGAAAGATTTAATTTTCAACTCTTATCACTAAACATTTCTTATATTTTCAATTTCAGCTAAATATGAAAAGTCAGGACCTCTTGCCAATAAAGGAAAACAAGCAATCCTGATAGTGTCTGTTGGTGTGACATTGTTTCTGATCATCTTCCTTGTGTGTTGGCTTGTAAAGAAAAGGAGAGAAGGTAAGCAAATTCCCTTCAAATGTTGCTCCTGAGCAATATATTTTTCGTAACATTATTAAACTCAGGGTGTTGGGTCAGTAAAAATGCGATGTGATGCTGAGCTAGAGTTTCAATATTTCTGATAGTCTTGAGCTCAAAAAAATATACCTTGAGTTATAAGTTTTACCAGCTAGAAATAAGTTTGCATGTTGATGACAGCCAGGGACAGGACAAGAAGAAACGAATTTCCGCTATCATTAACTTCAACGTCAAATTGCTGGAGAGACTTACCAATTAAGGAATTTGAGAAAGGTACAAGTAGTTCAGATTTACCACTTTTTGATCTTAGTGTCATAGCTGCGGCAACAAATAATTTCTCAGGTGCCAACAAGCTTGGAGAGGGTGGTTTTGGCTCAGTGTATAAGGTAGCCTAGCCTGCCCTGAAGTCCCTTAGACACATAGCATCACTTAAGTTTACATGTTGAACTATGAGAGTGATGAATTTGGATTGCGATTTTCAGGGTCTGCTTCATGATGGAAAGGAAATTGCGGTCAAAAGACTAGCAAAGTATTCTGGACAAGGGATTAATGAGTTCAGAACTGAAGTCGAGCTCATTGCAAAACTTCAGCACAGGAATCTTGTAAGGATATTAGGTTGTTGCATCCAAGGAAGAGAGAAGATGTTGATCTATGAATACTTGCCAAATAAAAGTTTGGACTCTTTTATTTTCAGTATGTCACCATATTGTGGATTTTTCAGTTTTTCTCATTCTATAAAAGTTGAAAAATGAATACAAGTCTGCATTGATTTGATGAGATTTATGCTTTTTTGGGTGCAGATGAACCAAGAAGGTCACAGCTAGATTGGTCTACTCGCTACAACATTATTTGTGGGATTGCTCGAGGAATTTTGTATCTTCATCAGGACTCCAGATTACGAATCATCCACAGAGATCTTAAGGCAAGCAATGTTCTACTAGATGCCTCAATGAACCCAAAAATTTCAGATTTCGGCATGGCTAGAATATTTGGAGTAGACCAAATTGAAGCCAACACAAACCGTGTTGTTGGAACGTAGTAAGTTTATCCTTATTTAATGAGTTATATTGAAGTGTAATATAAGATTATTTTTTAAATTTTATTTAATAATTTAAGTTTTTTATATAAAATAGTTTTTTTGATATAATATCAGATTTTAATTATTTTATCTAATTAAATTAATAAAATTCAGAACTTATAAAAGTTTCGTACTGTATTAGAAAATAAAATAAAATTATTTTTAATAAAGATTTGGAGACTTGATTGGTTCATTTAACTCAGTCGTTGGTGAAAAGATTACCTGGTGGCTATGGAAGAATTTCAAACATGCCATACCTACTTTTTTAGTGACTTTACTTTCATAGTGCCTTTAAGCCACTTAGATCCCGGTCCAGAATATGCAATGCAAGGCCTATTTTCAGTAAAATCTGATGTATATAGTTTCGGGGTTTTGCTATTAGAGGTCATCACTGGGAGAAAAAACAGCCATTTTTATGATGAAAGTAACTCTTCGAACTTGATTGGACATGTAAGTAGTAAGATCACACACAAATATATATATATATATATATATATATGTTGATTTCAACTCCAACATAGCATATTGATGTGGAATTTCTCTAGGTTTGGGATCTATGGAGAGAAGGCAAGGCCCTGGAAGTTGTGGATACATTAATGGGCGACTCATGTCCTGAAGATCAAGTCATAAGGTGCATCCAAATTGGTCTTTTATGTGTGCAAGAATCTGCAATGGACCGACCATCAATGTCTAATGTTGTTTTCATGTTGAGTAATGACACAACTCTTCCATCTCCTAAGCAACCTGCGTTTATTCTGAAGAAGAGTTACAATAGTGGAGATCCATCAACTAGTGAAGGATCGCATTCTATAAATGAAGTGACTATCACCATGCTTGGACCCCGGTAGAGGCTTACATATATCAGACGTGTTGTATTCATACATTAATTGTATGTTTAATATTGTAATAATTTTTTATGATTATAGTTTAAAATATTAGGTTTATAGTAGAATTCAAGAAAAATTATAATGTATGTTGATTAATCAAATATTTTTAAAATTATAATTAAAGTAAAATACAATTTCAATAACAGAACATTGTTATGTTAAAGGGATCATGATAGAGGAATCATGGTAGTGAAATATGATTTATTATGTTTCTAAGCATGTGGAACAAAGTAGTGTAATAATAGTTATTATAGAATGTACCTATATAAAAAATATTATTGGCATATTCTTATGTTATAATCTTCACCATTACTATTATATATTGCCCAACACATATATATAGAAATGGTTGGTTAATCAATATGTTAATCCTCTTAATTATTCTCAGCTTAGTATCAAAGTCTTCTACCTTCAGAACTCTTCTCTCCCTCTCCCCCTTGCAACCAACCTTCTCTATTCCTCTCCTAAATAGATTCAATTGTTGTTGTCGTCGACTTCTCCTTCACCACCGATGGTGTAGCCCAACCGGCCAGCCATTTACAAGCTGTTGTTGGTGGTGTCCTTCCTTCATAACAGCAGCCTCCACTAGCAAAGCATGTTAATTACTCCTTTTTATAATTTTGTGTCATTCCTCTACACATTATGGAAACACAAACTCCAGCTATCATTGCTTTATCAAACACCCACTAAGTTGTTTCATTAAATCTTAGGAACAAAAATTATCTCCATTGACAAATGCAAATGAAGCCATATCTAATGCAAATGAAGCCCTATCTTCTTATTCAAGATGTTTTTCACTTCATTGACGGCTGAATGTCGTGTCCTCCATCTCATGTTTCTAATAATGCTATTGGTTCTTCCTTTATAATCAATCCTTTTTTTTTTCATTGGAAACAATAAGATCAACTTATTTTGAGTGCATTACTCTCCTCTCTCTCTGTGGATGTGTTGTATCTCGTGGTATATCGTTATACCTCGCAATATGTTTGGCACACTCTTGAGAAAGCTCTTGAGAAAGCTCTTGCATCTCCATCTAATTCTCACATCATGCGACTCCATGGTTCCTTATAAGATCTTTAGCAAGGTGACTTATTGGTAAGTATATGCATGTAGCAAGCCAACTTGTTATTTGATGAATTAGCTGATGATGGTCGTCTCATATCCCTTGAAGACTTCAATCTATATGTGGTTTTATGGCCTTCATGGCGAGTTCAAAGACTTGATAATGAGTCTTATAACCAAGACAGAACCACTATCATATGGTAATCTTTACAGTCACCTTCTTACCCATGAATTTCTGCACAGGAACTCTCTTCAGTCCATAAACATCACTCTCCTTTTGTTGTCTTTATCTTTATTGCCGCAACCATCACTACTCATCTTACTATGTCTCATCACAACTTGGTATCAAATCCACTAACCCATTAGCACCAGCAATAGCAGATGACAGGTCTGAAGCCTTTTGCTTTAGCAATTCCATTTACGCCCATGGTTGAAGTCCTGAAAGAAAATTGAAAAATTTATCCTCCTTAGATATATTATCAATATCAAGGATTAAAGAACTATACTTCTTCATATACTCCCACACCGACCCATCTTGCCTCAACTTCTTCAAGTCTTCCCTCGCAATCCAAGACGTGTTGTTGGGAAGAAATTATTCTTTCAACTGCCAATTCAGAATCTCTAATGTCCCAACTTTCAGTCATCCAACATTAAAATCCTCCTTGGACTTTATCCGCCACCATAATTTTGTATCTCCTATATGATACATCATTACAATGTTAACTTGTTTAGCCAACCGGATCTTGGCCACACTGAAGTACTACTCTATGTCCCATAAAAAGTTCTCCAACTCTTTAGAACTCTGAACCCCATCAAATGTTTTCAAATCTAGAACCTTAGGCTTAGAAGAACTTGTACCCCCTAATGTAGTTGTGACTACTTGCGTCAAGATAGCTAACTCTGCATCAACAACTTGCAACTTTCAGCTCATCTCTGCTGCAAGTTCTACATATTATTCAATAGCCTTCTTAGTGATTTCTATAGCTGACTCAAGTCGATCTTGAACTGAATGATCTTCTTTATCAAGAATGTCCCTCATCCAGCCCTCTAGATCAAGCAACCTTTCTCGAAGAGTTTCCATATTCGATGGCATAAAACTTTCATTCACCAATTTCATAAACTATCATAATGATAGCTTGAACAAATTAGCCTTCAATTTGCCCACAAAACGATCTCGTTGTTGTGCTAAGAATACGACCGCACTCTGATACCAATTTTTACAAAGTGATAATGTCTGCACTGCCGAATGCGACTGTGATCTGATACCACAGCCCTCTACTCATCTTGCTATGTCTCATCACAACTTAAACTTCAACCATAAGAAGGGTCGTTCTCATGACAACTAGCATCCCAACAACAACAGCTACACTCACTAGAATAAGGGTTAATTTGCTGCAAACTAGAGACCAAACAATTGGTAGCAGAACAGGTGTAACACAGGGGCTGACCAATAGTTTGGACAGTAGTATGTTTGTTTATGGGTAGCAACTTTCTTCTGCTTCAATTCCTTATATAGCTACAAATCGTGACTTGCGTATTGTTCATTATTTTTTGGATATTGAGGTTAAGCCTACTAGTATGAGCCTTATGCTCCAACAACATAAATATGCACTTGACATCCTCACTCAGGCTAGTATGTTATATTACAAGCTTATTGATACTCTTATCTCTATATCCAAAGTTATCATACTGTCAGATCTTTTGATGCTACACACTTTTGTCAAATTATGAGTGCTTTTTAATATTTCACTTTTACAAGACTAGATATTTTCTTTGTTGTTAACAAAGTCTGTCAATTTATGCATGCTCCTACATATTCTTATTGGGTCGTCATTAAAAGCAACTTGCGTTATTTTAAAGGTACAAAAACACATGGACTACATATTACTCGTAGTTCTTTCTTTTCCTTACAAGGCTTTACATATGTAAATTGGGCAAGTAGTATTGATGATAAAAAATCTACAAGTAGTTATCTTGTGTTCTTTGGTTAGATGTTGATTTCATGAAAATCAGGTAAGCAACATATAATTTCTCGCTCTTTTACTAAAGATGAGTACAAAATCTTAGTCGATGGTACTGCTAAGGTTATGAGGCTTTAGCATTTATTATCAGATCTTCAGATTCTGTCTGTTTCTGCTTTTATCATTTGGTGTAATAACATTGGTGCCACTTATTTATCTATGAATCTTGTTTTTTATGTTCTCACAAAATATTTTAAGGTTGATTATCATTTTATCCAAGATAGAGTCGCGAAGAAGGAGATTCAAATTCATTTTATTTCCTCTCAGGATCAACTTGCAGATGTCTTTGTTAAGCCACTTCTTACTGCTTCGTTTACTACTTTTCATTTCAAGCTTCGAGTTGATCATCTACCCTCAGCTTGAGAAGACATATTATAAACAATACCAATATAAAAAATATTATAAGCATACTTTTATGTTGTAATCTCCACCATTATTATTATATATTACCCTACACGTATATATAGAAAAAATTAGCTAACCAATAGATTTATTATTCTCTGCATTGATGTTATTGATCAATAGTGCCACATAAAGCTTTTTGATCAAGTTTGATTAGATGATTAGTTATTGATCATGCTATCAATCTCATGTTGTTTAGGACACGAAAAACATTGATCAATAGTGCCACATAAAGCTTTTTGATCAAGTTTGATTAGATGATTAGTTATTGATCATGCTATCAATCTCATGTTGTTTAGGACACGAAAAACATTGATCAATAGTGCCACATAAAGTTTTTTGATCAAGTTTGATTAGATGATTAGTTATTGATCATGCTATCAATCTCATGTTGTTTAGGACACGAAAAACATTGATCAATAGTGCCACATAAAGTTTTTTGATCAAGTTTGATTAGATGATTAGTTATTGATCATGCTATCAATCTCATGTTGTTTAGGACACGAAAAACTTAGTTACTCCTAAACACAAAAGACATCTTTTTTTTTTAATAAATCTTTTAAAAAGATAAAACTTATTGTACGGTTCTAGTAGGATAATATCTATTGAGTGGCCTACTATCTAGAGATGTAAAAGCATAACATCATTAATGTTGTTTATAGAAACTCCAGTCATGTATAAACTATCCAAGCTTCTCGGCTTAATTAGGCTTGCGTTTCTAATAAATTTAATTTTTTTTTATAAAAAATTATTTATTTTATATGTTTTGAATCGTTTTAATATATTAATTTTAAAAATAATTTTTGAAAAATAAAAAAAATTATTTTAATATATTTCAATATAAAAAATACTTTTAAATATAATTAAAATCATAACTCAAAGAGCCAAACTCATCTCTCCTGACATACGAGGCCGTGCTTCAATATTATAAGAAATTTCAGATTTCATAGGAACCTTTACATTTTATAGGAACCCTCACATTATGGAAACTTTATGCTTTCATCTTGGTGGGCATAGGTGGCTCTTCTTAGCGAGAGCTTTCAATTTTATTTTATTTTAATCATGGTCAATGATAGGTGGTTATTTATAAAAGGGTAAAATTCAGTTTTCATGTTTTGATATTTTTTTAATTATTTTTCCATTTATAATATATTCAGAACTTAAGAAAATATTATTTTAATTCAACAGTTTTTTATTCATATCCTTATTGAATATATCTCACACAAGCACACAACTTTATCATTCTAAAGGATCTCAATATTAATAAAATATACAGTAAAAAAAACTCAATTAATCATAATGGGAATAGAGTAATAAACAGAGATACTCACACACAAATAATCCGCATTTCAATATTAATAGAATATAGAGTAAAAAAAGCTCAATTAATCATATTAATAATAATGGAAATCTTCTAATTAACAAACAGAGGTAAGTAGTCACACATAATTAATCCTATCAATCATCATAATCCCATTGGTCAAATTTAGTTATTTGAAACTATGTATCTTTGTATTGAGTTTTAAATAAATCATCAACAATTAATCTAGCTTAATATTTTCATTAGTTTTG